ATTCAGTTGGGTGGTAATTCATGACCGGGTAGTCTATCAATGTGGTTGCAGATGCTCTTGGGTCGCCTTAATGAATCCTCTGGAAATAGTAAAACCAGGGAAACATCATTTTGATGAGCGGTTAAATATGAGAGCTACTAAACAATGTTTTTTTAGAGTATGCCAAGTACCATATACTTTATAGAACGCGGAGAATAATGTACAAGAGGTACTAAACAATGTAATCCCAACTAATCCAGGATAACACCCTGAATATCCATAACTTAAAAGAAGCTAAAGAAAAACTTTAAAAGAAGCTCAAAAATAGTGTATCCATGATCCGTTCCATTTATATATAAACATACAGCACAACTCAGCGAGAAGCCAGTCAGCCAGCCAGCCAGCCAGCCAGCCAGGCTTAGCAGGCATCATCAGCACAAAGCATGTCATTAGCAAGCAGCTAGCTAGCGTAGGCACGTGGGGCTACATCGTAGGCCTATGATGCGCTTACAGGCCAATCAAGAGCCGGCATGAGCGTGCCACGGATAAGCTAAACAAATGCATACTCCTGCTAGAATTAGTACTACCGCATTACTAGCATCTTATGCTAAGCTGAGCAGAGGCCAGAAGAGCTCGCTCTATTCTATCCTGCCTCTCCTCTGCATGATCTGAACCCCCCCGTCGTACTACAGTAGTATACTACTCCTGTTCCTGTACCACAGCTCGTGAGCCGTGACAGCAAAGGAACGCCCCGCTTTTCCGTACTTTACTTACCACGGCACCCGGCAGATGATTAGATTAGATTAGATTAGATTAGAGCGCCTTTGCGTCAAACCTATCCTATCCTAGTACTCCCTCCATTTCAAAATATAGTGCGCCCGCACTTTTCAAGGTCTAACTTTAACCATAAATTTAACTAACGAGACCAACTGCGGCGAGAGAAAAAATTATATAATTAAAAACTTCTTTCGAATATGAATTCACTGATATAATTTTGCTCCCGCCGCAATCGGTCTTGTTAGTTAAATTTACGGTCAAAGTTGAAACACGGGGATAGATGAAACACTACATTGTGGAATGGAGGGAGTACCTACTAGTAGTAGTTGCAAAGGCTAACGAACGGAGGGTGCGTGCGTGCAGGGGACGAGGAGAGAAAAGCGACTGTTTCCTTCCATGGAGAGCGAGGGCGCAAGGTAAAATAATGGCGGCTTTGCGCGGAGGGGGAGAGGGAGGGGGAATACGATCGGGCACTATGCTCCGCTCCTCGGGGCGCGCGGCTGCCGGGTCATGATCGGAAAGGCCGCAGCGGCGAGGACGGTTCCCTTTCCTTTTTTCTTCTACCTTTGGCCGTCCGTAATGTCGCCATTATTGCTCCGGCGGGGGTGGCCGGCATGCCCGCGGCTTTTGTGTCAGGTAAAGCCCACGGCGACGCGACCTCCGCGCCGGCCACGCGGCCGCTAATGAGGTGCCGCTGCGGTGTTTAGGGGGGACAGACCATGATGGTTGATTGGCCGTTAGTGTGTTAAGCAAGTTGTGGGGCGGGCACGTGATCATATGCCCGTGGCAGAGCGCCAGAGCGCTGCCTGCCGCTGCGTGCCAGGCGCACAGTGATACTCCTAGTTGGATTACTGCGGTGGCAGTAAGTTGTTGCACATTTCAAAGAAAATTTCCCGCGGCAGGCAGGCAGGAGGCATCGCCGGCGGCAGTGAGGGAAGGGAATCGCACGCCCGTTTACCTCATGGCCACCGGGCGGGCGGGGCGGGCGTCATCGTGGGGCCTCATGATGGCGACGCCACCTATTTCTGCTCGTCCCTTGTCCCCGCTGCCACTCCCCCCGCATGTTCCGACTCCTACACCGCCCGCCTTGTCCTCCACTGCGCCACCACCATCGCTATCCAGTTCCCATTCCTGCCTGCCCGGCTTCGATCGATCACTCGGCGCGCACCATCACGACGCACGCCGCACGCGCCGCCCAGAGCTGTGCCTGCGCGTGAACTAAGCGGCCGTCGGTGCATGCGCGGGGATAGACATGGACACGCCGACGTCGTCGACGTGGGAGGAGGGCTCGCAGTCCGACTACGCCGACCTCGACGACGATGACATGCCCCTCGACCATCAGCGCGGCGGCGTGCTGCGGGCGCTGAACCTCCGCCGCGACGACGACGCCGCCTCCGACGTGTCGTCCGAGTGCAGCGGGGAGCCCGGGAGCCCGTACGGGTCGCCGTACCCGCGCTGGCCGGTCTGCAAGCTGGCGGCGCGGATGCCGCCGCCGGCGCCGCTGCTGCAGAGGCTCGGCACGGAGGCGCGCCGCGGCGGCGCGCGTGACCGCAAGGCCGGTTGCACCGGTACGCACTTCTCTGCTGCTCTCTGTTCTTGGCTCCTGTCCATTGTAGGTATGCTAATGCGCTAATGTACTCGTGGGTGTGGGCTGGCAGAGTTGCAGCTGATGAAGGAAAGGTTCTCGAAGCTCCTGCTCGGGGAGGACATGTCCGGCGGCGGCAAGGGTGTCTCCACCGCCGCCGCCATCTCCAACGCCATCACCAACCTCTACGGTAAGCAATCAAGCACGCCCGTCCACGTTTGTTTGGAGGAGGTTAATTACCAAGAGAACAGAGGACGTCCCCTGATACTCTGATAGCATCCGCTGCTTCCTCTGCTCGCAGCGACCGTTTTCGGGAGCTGCCACAGGCTGGAGCCGCTGCCGGTGGAGAAGAAGTCGATGTGGCGGCGGGAGATGGACTGCCTGCTCTCCGTCTGCGACTACATCGTCGAGTTCTTCCCGTCCAAGGACATCCTGCCCGACGGCACGACCCGAGAGGTGAAGAATCGAAACATCACCACCATGGCTTCGAAACATACAACTTCCATGTCACTGATGACAAAGCATTCTGGTTCTGTCAGGTGATGGCGACCAGGCCGAGATCCGACATCTACGTCAACCTCCCGGCGCTCGAGAAGCTCGACGACATGCTGCTCGTAAGATCCGAGCCCATTTCCTCCTTCGCGCCTTCCAAGAATTTGCTGCTCACGTGGGCTTAATTTGATTTGATTGATGATGCGCGCGCAGGAGATCCTGGACGGCTTCCAGAAGACGGAATTCTGGTACCTCAACGACAAGGCGCACAAGGACAGCTGCGACGACTCGGCGCCCTGCCGTCCGGCGAGCCACCGCGGCGAGGAGCGGTGGTGGCTGCCGGTGCCGTGCGTCACCAAGTCCGGGCTCACGGAGCCGGCCCGGCGGGACCTGCGGCAGAAGCACGACTGCGCGAGCCAGATCCACAAGGCGGCCATGGCCATCAACAACGGCATCCTCGCCGAGATCAAGATCCCAGAATCGTACACGCAGACGCTTCCCAAGGTGGGTCAGGGTGGCAGCCTCAAACCTCCCGCCATGAAACTGAAACTTTTCTTTTAGTTTCCCGATCGCGATTCCTCTGACAAAGGTTGCTGGTACCCAAATGTGCAGTGCGGGCGGGCGAGCGTGGGCGACGCCATCTACCGGGGCATGTCGTTCCCGGGCAAATTCTCGCCGGAGTACCTGCTGGACTGCCTGGAGCTGTCGTCGGAGCACGAGGCCCTGGAGGCGGCGGACCGCGTGGAGGCGGCGATGCACGTGTGGCGGCGCAAGGCGGGGCACGGCCACGCTCGGTCGCCGTGGGGCGCCGTCAAGGACCTCATGGAGTCGGACAAGAACGTGATGCTGGCGAGCCGGGCCGAGGACGCCCTGCTCTGCCTCAAGCACCGCTTCCCCGGCCTCTCCCAGACCACGCTCGACGCCAGCAAGATACAGCACAACAAGGTCGGCAACCATGATCACCACACCAAAGCTTTTCGATCTGATTACAGGCTTGAATTGTGAAAATTTGTGATGTGATGAATCTGTTCTTGTGGCGCAGGACGTCGGGCAGGCCGTGCTGGAGAGCTACTCCAGGGTGCTGGAGAGCCTGGCGTACACCATAGTGACATGTATAGACGACGTTCTTTTCGCCGACGAGTCGGCGAGGAAGATCGGATGATGATCATTCGTTCATCCTGCCCGGACCTGGACCTGGACCAGAAAACCAAAATGCTGGTCCATACACCCGTCCAACAATATGTACATTATGCCATAACATGTAGTGCTAGTACACTAATGGAAGATAGCAGCATGAGCACAGTAGGCTACTCCCCTAGCATAGCCATGCTTGGGGCTACATTCATTCCAATCCCATGGCCCCTCAGTTGCATTGCATTCTGTATCATGACAATGGATGCCAAAGAGTACAGTATCACTTGTCACTTGTGAATGTTCCTCTAGTATATGGATGGGCATGGGCCTCTCAAGTTGGCAGCTGACATGATTCACCAGAGTATGAACATATCATAAACAGGGAGAATTATATATCCTGCCCTTGAGGGAAATTATTCTTCAGACAGTTAAGGGAACAATCTATACACACCCAAACTCAATCTCCTATTCTCACACCTGTACAGCCAACAACATCAAGTGAGAAGAAAAGCATAACCAAACAATTCCTAGTGTCTGGAACCACATTTATTCAAGATTATACAACTAACAGCACCGGGCTGTGGAAAAAAAACTGTTATTCGCTCCATCAAAAGGGGATTCAACCCTATCATGATGAACTGCCTAACTCTATAATCTTTTTGAGATCTCATCTATCATACTCACTTCACTTCTCCTTACCTCCTTATAACAGATCATTGCTGCATCCTCACCTTCTCTATAAAAGAAAACACTGCTGAATCTATAAAATCCTTTTCAGTTTTTTCCGATGTAACCTTTTTTCCCCCATACTACCAAAAGGCCGGGTTTGATCAGGTGTAATTTCATGGATGACTACAAAGATCTACAGTCTTAAAACCACAGGTCAAATACCATCTCCTCCAGTAAGTCGTCAAGCATACCATCCCACACATCAATAACAGCGTCTTCGGCATCGCACCGAAGGTCCATCCACGGTCCACTTTCCAAGTCTTTCAGCACCACCTCATCTAACGTTTTTGGAGTTTCAGTATCATCGACAAGGCAATCGATGCACTTAGCCACCTCTCTAACGAGTTCCATCCCCAGAGGTGCTGGCCTCACGTTTTTCTTCAGAAAAGCTACCCATGGGTCAGCGCCGAAGAAATCATCGCTTATCTTGAGAAGGACTTCCTCAACACAATCAAAAAGAAGAACCACATCGTCTGTCAGGCAGTATGACATTCCTATTTCAGCCAATACAGATGTCTCAAGCACTGACACATCCGTATACCACCTCTCCGAACAGCCCCCGGCCAGCGATTCTGACGCTTCTAGCACAGACTTAATGAAGGAAACCCTTTCATTTTTATCATAAAGAACAGGAGTCTGCAACGTCTCAGATGGAGTGTCAAGTTCTTCGAAAAGAACTCTTGAGCTAGGCATGGACAACTCATCTGCAAGCACACACAATTTTTTCTGTCATCAATCGATTGCAAAAGCAAAAAAAAAAGGTGGAATTTCTTATTTTCACTCAAGTACCTTGCTTTCGAGTTTTATGGCTGGGACTGGTACTATTTGCCAAGGAAGGGTCCAGAACCGAGTGTGGACTCAGTTTCTCCTCTTTTTCATCAGCATTCTCGGGCAGGCAAGCAAATGTCAACATGGATGGCTTGGCTAATCGAACGACTGCTGATGGACTGCAATCGTCTTGTTCCTCAACGGGGTCCTCAGGAGAATGCACAGTAACTTCTGGTAACACATTCACAGGATGTGGTTCTTCGGAAGATAACTTCAGTAGAGGGGGAAAGTTTATTCATCAACTTTCTGTAGAAAAACAGCTCAACTTTGTATCAAAATTGCTAAGAGGTATGACTTACCTTTTCTGAATTTATTAGTTCAAATCTTTCACTTGAAGTTTCGGTCTCGGTAGAGAGTTGTAGGTTTTCCACTGTATCCTGCATGTTCTTAACATCTGCAAACAAATGGATGTGTATATTACATTACAACAACAAAAAACTAAAGCTGAAGAGAAGGGATCTTACACTTTATAATACATGAGCAACGTACCTTCATCAATTAGCTCCTGAGAAATAGTGTGCTCCTCCAATACATGGTTGCCATGATCTGTCCTGAGTTCATTCAACTCTTTACTAGCTGATGAAGAGCTTGCATTGGTCGATTCTGTCTCCTGGTCTTCGCTTGGTGGGCTAAAATTTGCTGAACTATCATCTTGCTCAATTATTTGTGAACTTGAGTCTGTAGCTTCCTGAGATATACTAATGCCCTCCTCTGGAGGGGAATGACTGGGAGAAAATGCCTCATCCTCCGGATGTGAAATTAATCTCCTAATGGATTCTGATTTATGTAGAGTCTGAGAAATGTCTTCATCTTGATTGTCTAGCTTCTCAATGAGATGCTTCCTAGCCTTTTCATAGGAAAAAGAGCCGACACCATGAGTGGCATCATTCCCCATGCCAATTCCACTATCTCTAAAGTTTGTTTTCTTGTCAACAACAATGGATGGTTCCTTAGCTATCTCACAGTCAGAAGAATCTGTAGTTTCTGAACTTATCGACATACTTTCGACAGCAAACTGCTTGGGTGGATCAGCATTGTGGAAAGTACTACTACTCATGGTGGCAAGCTTTAGCCTCCTTCTAAGCTCTCTAAGAGAGAAATGGTGAGGAGCTTTGCCACTTTCAACCTGACCTGGCATATTATTATGATTTGATAGTGGTGAAGAAGTTACACTACTTGAGATAAGGCTACCCTGACTTCTTGCAGGACTTGGCTTCAAGATTACTATTGTGCTAAGGCCACGGGAAGTGTCATTTAGCTGTGATGGTTTCCTCATGACTAACTTATCCTCTTGCAAGAAAGAATTATACTTTCTTTGCACTTTACTTGGTGAAACCTCCGACTGCTCTATGCCGTTAGTCGCAACTTGCAACTTATTTACTTCATCAGATTCCGTGGGTTCTAACTTGGGACCTCCTAGGGATGTATAGAGGTTTTGGAGGCACTGTAACAATCTAGAGCTCGGGTCTCGCAGAAGCATCAGAAACAACTCTTTGTTTGAGCTCAGCAGCTGCAGTGCATCAACCAATTCTTTGGACCTAGCTTCGCCGCTGCTGGTTATGTAGTCTGCATTCGCTGATTGATGGCTTATTACCGCTTCGGCCACATCTTCTAGTGCTTTCTGAATAACACAGGGTATCCGACTGGTATGTGCACCAGCATCAGCATTGTTCTCTTGGTCAACTGAATAAGAAATGTTACCGGATTTAACAGAATCGCTACTGTCTTGACTTCCATTGTGACTTCTGTAAATTTCCATGAGACTCGCAGCCAAGTTTAGGTCAATCTCAGATCCTTCAGGCAGATTCACAGACTTAACATCACTAGAGAATATCCCCAGCGTATTTCTTTCTGTTTGCTTCAAGGGCTGTGTGCCACTGGCCATCTCTTCTTCCATCAGTGCTCTAATACTTGGCCTGCCGGCATAAATTGTTTCAGCCCCATGGTCTCTGTCATTCTGAGAAAAGGCAATTGATTGTATTCGCAGTTATTTTCAAGATGTTATAAATACTTCTGACCATGTTAAACTCCAACATACCGCATATAACTAAAAATGATTGCATCTATTTTGTGCGCTAATAAATTTGATATCACATAGTACTCTGCCACACCTAAAATATTCATACATAAGTGTCTTCAAAAGCTTAAAGAAGTTCCAAAATTACCACATTTTGAGGTTTATAGCGCTATTTTGTGCTCCCTCCGTCCCAAAATGAGTGTAATCAAGAACTAAAGCCACGACACTTATTTTGGGACAGAGAGAGTACTTCCTATGTGAAAAACTGGAAAATAATACGTAGTTTCCAGTCGATTCAAAACTTACATCTGCAGCCGTGATTCTATTGTAATCTTCAGAACCTTTTAGACCCCTTTTAACTGCACAAAGCACACAGTTTATTTTTAGCAAATTCATGGACCAGATAATACATCAACTCATACTAGTATAGTGCAGATAAGGAATGTCACTGAGTTCCTCACCTGAATATGTGTTGATCCTCCGGCTCCCATCTGAAAGATATTTTTGACCGCGGCGGAAGTCGAACATGCGGATCAGCCCCGACATACAACCTACCTGAACCTTCTCGTTCCGCTGCTTGTAACTTTTGTTTGCCATGTTGGGGGACAACATGGCCAAACGGTGTTATCTTGTAAGCACCCTCTTCAGAGGAGTTAACCTGAATGCATAAAGCACACGCGTAAACCGAAAGTTGTGTGAACACTGAACAGCACAAAATTAGGAATATATAATGGCAACCAAAGCTTCCCTTTTTCCACTCTCCCAATTCCCAACAACTCACTCTCTCAAAAAGAAAAAAAGTCCCAACAGCTCAAATTTTCAAAGTATGTTCCAATTAGTGAATGGTGGCATAACTAACTACATAAACAAATACAGCGCACCAAATAAATGAATGAGAAATGGTACAAAGACCCAAAAGACAAAGACCATATCGAAAAGAGGCAAGGATCACATTGCACCTACCGGATGCAAATGTCGGCTTCAACGTGGTTAGAGTTACAGGTTTCCGTGTTTAGTATTGTTTTCTTCAGTGAGCTTAACCGTGTCACAAGAACTTGAAAGAACCAAAGGAGCAAAATTTGACGCGCGAAGCTCTTCGGAGTATTGAAAAGGCAAACATGCCACATATTTGGTAAAAAAAAGTAGAGAGAGAAGTTTTCCGGGGTATCCGAAAGGTAAATAAGAAGAACAGATTAACTGAAACTGGAGAGGCAGAAGTATTTTGGGGTATCGAAAAGGCAAACTGGTGAACTCTGAAGATTTCAACTCAGTCCCCCCTCATTCAGTGATAACGAAAGGAAGGGTTGTCATGTTGGACTAATTATCTCCCAAAGCATACGAAGAACCGCTGCTAGCTGGCCGAAATGCCCGTTCTATAAAAACAATATAGTACCACCAAAATGGACTTTGCCTTTGCGTCATTGATTAAAAAACAGAGCACCGACGGAGCACTACAACAAGCTGAAAGTTGTGTTTGTATTGGGCCAAGTTAATCAGACTGTCTAGCCAGATGTTGAAAAATCAAGATCAAGATTGGTTAATTTACCTGTTTACCGGCGAGTATTGATCACAGAACCCACCAGGTGACGACCCGGTTGTCGCCCTGACCACTGTTCTTGGAGAACGGCCTGCTGAATCGTCTGAATCGCCTTGTGTTCCGCCTCTGTAAACTCGGCACCAATATTCAGAGATTAACTCAGAATCCGACCTCTGGGCTTTCAACGATGAAGAAACCAACTGAAGACGGGCGGAGACAGATTGGAATGATCTTCTGACGGAGCAGGAAACCCTCCTTGTTATTGCCGTGCCTCCTCGAGAAACTTGGCACGCCGGAGAGGAATACCTCGGAAGGATGGCCCCCGCCCCAGGCTTGGAATCCACGTCCAGAATCGAGAAACTTGGCGCGCCGGAGAGGAATACCTCGGAAGGATCTACACACGCCGAAGGAAGGAGGAGGGCGGGGCAAACATGCAGGCCACGCCTCCGGCGGAGTCTCAGTCCTTCTCCTTCGGCCTCCGGCGATTCAGAATCTCACAGGCAGGAAAAACCCGAGCGCCCGAACAATCTCTGATTGATCCTCCGTTTCTTGGCAGCGGGCCGGCGAAACACGCCGACGGCGGCGCCGGGATCGAATTAATTCCCCGGGCCTTCAGAGATGGAAGGAAACAACCCGAATGCGGATGGACAGATACTCACAGCCCCTTCCTTTTTCTTCACAGGACCGTGTGGGAAATTAGTTGCCTTTTTCTGATGATGGTGATCCTTCTTTCCCCCTCTGTGCCCCTCAGCAAACAGAGCCGTCCGTGGCCATGGGGGCGCATGCACGGCTCCTCCTTAGCAATCGGCAGGCTTCATGGGACGTGGAACCCCTTGCCCTCACTGCCTACTCTGCTCTCCTACCACCATCGCTCTCTCTTCTCTCTCTCTCTCTCTGTCTCTCTGATGACGACGGAGGGGCAGCGGATTAAAAGAGGGGTGTTTGGATTTGATATATGCCTCAGTTTTGGTATGTCCCTCGTGTCCCTCTTTTTGTACTACTCCCTCCGTCACGGTTTAGTAGGCGCGCTTGCAAATTTTTTGGGACCTAGGTGGTTATCTATTGGTTGTGAGATGGACTAAGAAATAGCATTCACACTACGCATGCATATAGAAATAGTATATCAGATTACTAACTGGCTACTAGAAATAAATGCAATGCGCCCTAAACCTTGTCTATTATAGAAACGCACGCAAATTTAACTGTGCCTTCTAAACTATGACAGAGGGAGTACGTCAATAGCTGCTCCATCAAGCTCAACAGGTAGTGACATAAATCTTGACACATACACCCCTGAACATGACACTATATACTACTTCCTCCGTTCTGATTTACTCGTCGTGGGTTTAGTTCAAAATCGGAACGAAGGGAGTACTAGATTGGACAATAGACATGAAGTGGTAAAACATCATCATCATCATCATCACCATCATCATTATAATACATATTATTATAATTTATGATTGTTAAGTCCATTTGTGTTTCTATATAAGAATAGCTACCGTGCAAAACATATTCATAATGTCACATCTAAACAAGCATGACCAAAGTTTCCCCGAATGAGAAGTGGGGGAATTAAAAGGTTTTGAGAGGCTAGCAGGACAAGTTGATAGCTAACCAATTGGTAGATAATTATTATTTTTTGGCTTGCCTGCATACTAGCCGATAATCTTTGGCACCAAACCATCAGTTTCTAAAAGCGCAATGTATTAAAACACTTTCTAAACATGAAGCCCGGGTGGCTCGACGTCCTAATAAATAACGCGCTACCGATAAGTGGGGTGCTTTACAGCTGAATGACACTGGTTGTCGACAGGTGATGCCTTGTCATTTTTTTCATTGTCGCCTTGCAAGCATATGGGGTTACTTCAGTAGAAGCCAAGCGATGAGGATGTCGGGGCGATGAGGGGAGGGAAACCTCGTATGCTCCTTGTAGATGATGGGTTTTATTCACCATTACTTGTTAGCACTTCCAATTGCTGTTAGAGCTTTTCTCAATCTTCGTAAACAATCTTTTAGTACTTTGCATGAAGTTTACATAAAACGTAGAAAGGAACATGGAGTAAGCAGGGCGAATTACTTGCGCAAAGTATTGAGTTTTATATATGCGCTCACTGTTTGTGGTCATGTTTTCCTTTTGGGTGTGTCGAGTATGCTTGTGCACATTTCCAAACAACCCCTCTCCTTGGAGCACCGAGCATTCAACATGAACCACGGGAGGGAGCCTGACTGTGCAACCTTTGTGACAAGAGATGGTTTTTTTTTTTTGCCGTGACAAGTTGAATTCAAATGTCAAATTTCATCTTCTAATTCAGACTAACTGCAGCTTTCACTAGCTCATTTGAGTGAAAAATGATTACTAGAGTGCACAATGATTGGAATATACAACTATTCTACCTTAATTAACCGGAGTTACATTCAAAGAAAAGTCTTAATTACGATGAATTATTTAGGACAAAAAATTAAATTTATCACTAATCTATCTGGTTTTTTCTTGCAAGTAGTATCTCTCTGACTTCCTGGTTAATTAACCAATCCATGTTGGTTTTGTCTGTCCAGAAAAGGGATTATTTAGCACAATAAATAAGTTTCAGAAACGATTACGATACAACCATTATGTTTCAATTAATTAGAATTCTCTCCAGTTTAAGAAGAAAAAGCCTTACGCTGAATTATTCATGATAATGTATAAATTTACCCTCAATCTCTCCAGCCTTTTCATGCAAAGCAATATCTCTCTCATTGAATATATACTTTTTGGTTGGTTTCCTCAATAGCTCTGACCAATATTTTCAGGCGAATGGGAACAACCTGAAGGTTGCATTCATAATTTCCTCTGTGAGCGCCACAGCGGCAGCAGGTGTCATCATCCGATTCTTAATTCCGAGGATGTGACAAACCAACTAGAATAAGATTCGCCGGAAACCAGTTGGATTAGCATGGGATATAAGAAGAAGCGTCTAACTAAAGCATCCCGGCATCACCCGTTTCTTTTCCTTGATTCTTTTTCCATGTCAAAAAACATGTCTTAGTATCAGAGTAGTATGTCATTTCGTACACCTCGTATTGTACACAGTTTCTTTACTTTCGCCTGTGTACACGCGGCCGGAAACAGTGGGCCTCCTCGTATACATACTGTATAGTACGGTACAGAGAGGCGTACGTATGTGGCTGGTCTGGATGGCTCTACACGACCGTAACAAACATGCGTGTGTACTTCTGCCGGCAGTCGTACGTCGGGTTAGCGCGATGGAAGGAAGGTCGGGGCGTACGTGGACCGCGACCCGGTCCGACGGCGGTGGATGCATGCAGTGCAGCATGGAGGCGTTGGCGGAGGGGTCGCTGTCGCGCGTGTCGGCCGGTGGGCTTTGCAAGCGACCGTGCATCATGTATGCGTACGCCGCGCTGGGCGACCGGCCGGTATTTTATTCCGGCGACATCTCAACCTTCCCCTCCTTCCTCGAGCCCTCCCTCAGAGCTGCCCCGAGTTGCTTTTCCGCTTTACAAACGTACGTCATCGACCGCCGGGACGACGGCGAGGTTCGTCGGCCGTTCTTCAGCGGATGCTTCAGGCGCAGGCAGCACCGTGCACCGGTGCAAGTACGCGAGCCGTCGACAGGAGGCTCCGCTTTCTCCGCGCGCGCGCACGCTCGGCCGGCACGCGTCTGCGACAGTGCGCGTGGCATCCGCACGGCGACGCCGACCGCTGTCCGCCGCTAGGTGGGCGATCGATTCCATTTCCATCACGTACGCGTCGCCCCTGGGCTGGCTAATCAGTCGGCCTCGTCGCGAAGAAAAAGGGTGGCGATTTGGATATATCATTCCTGTTCCATCGGTCAGTCGCCTAACAGCCCGGGGTTTTGTTGCCAAGCGTACTTATGTTCGACGCCAACGCCTCACCCGCCGTTCATCTTTTGTCCCCGTTCAGCTGTCCGCGCGTCAGACCAAGAACTAAAACTGGTCGTTACGGCGTCCTAGTCCAAACCCAACCCCATGCAAGATGCAACTGCCCATCGATCTCGATCTCTTCTCCACAGCTCTAAAGTACAAAGGAACACAAGCATCTCTGTCTTGC